TTGTTTTAATTTCCTTACTTTCTAAGACACATTAAGTTGATTTTATGCTACAGTTTGCCTTGTAATGTTATTTTATACCTTTTCTGCTACTTTTGAATTGGCTGTTATTAAGCTTTATTAGTTTTTTAGGACACAAGATGCTTCCTACAAAACCAGAATGGGAACCTTTTCCTAAAATTTCATGGAGATATCTTGAATACTGAGGAAGTTATGAGCAAAATTTGAAAACAGCAAGGTGAAATGGTCACAAAGGCCCCATTGGTTCTGCTGTGAACTGCAGCAAGAAAACATGAGCTGATTTCACCTAAACATCAATAACTTCCCTCATACTTCAGATAATCACATATTTTGGTGTTATTTTGTATGGTTTGAAATGTTCTTTTGGAATCTGCTGTCAGTTTTAATATTGGTGTAGGATTAAAATGTATCCACATCCCTGCACATTGCATTTGAGAAAAAAGGTGTTCCTATCTGCAGAGCTGTAAATGGTAAAAAGAAGATGAAGCAAAAACTATCAACTTAAAAAAGGTTTGCATTTGTCAGACAGGTAATGCTGTAACAATCAGCCCAAAACCAGCTGTTTTGTAGTTAATTACATAACGCTTATTAAGGTCGGGAGTGGGTTCCTGGAGCTGTAATGTTGTAAAATTTGAAAGGGCTTTAGTGCAGAACAGATCATCTGATCAAGGACAACAAATAGCCCAGATGAATGCAATAATGATAAATAAACTGAAAAAAATCACAACTGATAGTTTTCAACTTTTATCTTTCAATCGCTTAATTTCCCCCCCAACTGAGCCATCTTCATTTCCCCTTACATTCTCAAAACAACATATTAATCATATAACTTTGCATAACAAAAAGGTAATATTGAAACGTCTCAGTCCAAATGTCCTCCTCACGTGAAAGTTCAAACGCGGGGCAAGTGAGGGAAACCTCCCCTCAGTAAAGGCGTCGGCGTGCCTCAAACAAAAGTAAACAGAACGATCTCACCAGATCTCCAATGTCCGTAGTTTTTTTAGCGTGCCTCCCCTGCAGTCCCAGATGAAAGAAAATATAATAATCCTTCAGTGCTCTCGTCCAGCGTAAAACAATAATCCACAGGTATTCCAGGGTATCTGCCACACGCCAAACTTTCTCACTCAGGTGCGCACCCAAGGTAAAAAAAAAAAAAAAAGTCATCACTCCTGCTCTTTTATCTCCTCTCGGCAAAGCCTCAGGCAGATAATTCATTATTTCCATTTTCTCACTTCCTCTT